ATATATATATATATATATATATATATATAGCAGATTTTTTCCACAGTGGCATTCCTTCTACCTACCATCCTCCAGACATACATTCCCAGTGAGTTTGGTGTTGACAGGAAGTGGCCCATTCACAATTTGAATCATGTCAATAGCATGACGCCCTTCCTACCACGGATCTTATGTACAATTCCAAATGACTCCACGTTTTTGTTGAAACACTCTTCCATGTCATGACTATATATATATATATATATATATATATTGCAGTTTTTTCCTCAGGCTGAGACGTTCCTCTTCCTTACCATCCTCTGGATGCAATTCCTGGGAGGGTCAGGTGTTGGTTAGAGATGGTCCAGCTAAGTAAGTCCCCACATGTTCTGGCTTGTATCCCTCCTCCTACTGCGGACTGGATGAAAAATGCCCAATGCCACCAGGTTTTGGACTGGAGATGCACCCCAGTTTTGCAGTTCCTCTTCTTACCATCTTACCTATTTCACCTTACAAACATGGGTGCTTAACACAGACACTACTGTTAACCAGTCAAGCCTGGGAATAAACCATCGACACTAAGTACAAATAGTCTTTTGATGCCACTGTTAAGCCTAACATTTGAGAATTAATTTCACACTATTATGTAATATTTTACCTTCTCTTTATCTTTAAAATAAGTGGCAACTAATCTTTAGATGATATTTTTGTTGTAATAAACTATATTTAGCCTTTTTTATAACATACAATTAAGCTAAATTGTAGCTAAAATCTTGTTACACTTGCTAAGCCTAATCTAATATTTGTAATACTTGCATTACCAAGCTTTAATTTAACACTTTAATTCTAATACTGTTGTTTATCAATCTTATTAAATGAATTTAACTTTTTTAGTAATTAACACAGATTACTATAAATAAGAATAATCAGGTCCTTAACTAGATTTGAATAAGATATTCCAAAACATCCATGTCTTTTTACATAGGTCATGATGGCAGCAAGTTTCTGGTCACTTTTGGAACCTGGACTAGAAATTGCCAAGTCTTCTCGTCAGTACGGAGACAATGGACAATATGCTGTTCTACCAATAATTTTTGGATTCATTTTAGGAGCTTTCTTTGTTTATGGAATGGACGTACTTATGCCTTACTTGGTAAGTATTCATTATTACTAGAGAATAGTATTAGGAATTCTGTAAGTAGCATTGTGGTGTTTTCTTCTGATCTTGCTTTAGACAGAGGATTTGAAGTTCTCGTCAGAAGGGGGGCATTTGATGGATAAAATGAGGGTTCTGTAATAGAACTGTAAAAAGAGTATTAAAATCTGACATTACAACGATGTTACCTTTTGAAAAAAAAAGTTGCAATATGTTTTACTATGTAACAATGTTATCATCATTATATACAAAAAAATTATCTACAATTATACTAACTATTATATTAAATATAACATTTAAACTTTTTTTAAATGTTAAGTTATAAATATGAAGGTACTAATTACTTAGCAACCAAAACAATTAATTACCTATAGTTTTAGGCTCTGGATATAGAAGATAGTGTTGTTGACATATTTTTATACATTCCTTTTTACTTTCACTTAAGTTCTTAGACTTAACTAATGCCAGTTCTTACACCAGACCTTTCAAACAAAAGAAGACTTCTAGCTTAAAGTATAAGCTTATCATGAATTTCAATCATCTAATCTCATGTTTAATTCCTACATTAATTGACCTTATATTTAAATACAGAAATCATGCAAAGTGTATTTCACTACAATAGTGATAATGTTAAATTCCTTACAAATACTTTGTCAACACTTTTTGCCTTGAACTTTAAAAATCTTATCTCATTTAGATAACATTTAACTAAATAGGAATATTAGTACAAGTTTCTATTAATTATTAAACTGCAGAAATACACATTTAATTAACTTCACTAATCCTAGCTGTCTAATACAAGAGGGCAGGATACTGTAGTATTAAATTACATTATTATAGTAGTAAATATTGCCTGGTTTTTATTTTGTACCTTTTATTTTTTCAGTTTATATGCTTATTCTATAACTGTTTGATTCATTTTAACTCTTCCACTACATGTAACAGCTTCATTTGCAACTACAGTAGTCTCTCTTAGATACAACTGACTTATCTGCCATGATAAAAAAATCGTATTTGACAGGAAGTCGTTATTCAAAGGATCAATAACCAGATAATGAATGACTGAGTTCAAGCTGTGCCAGTTGCTATTCCCAGGAGTTGAGCATAATGGTTAATATACTGTATAGGTATTCAGATAATATAGCAAATTGGTATAATAATAGTTATGATGGATAACAGTTTAATAAAGATAACTTAAAATCATTTTGTTTGTGTTTTATGTAAAATAATTTATTCATCAATCACATTTATTTCATAAAATCCATGTATCACATTTTTATTACATACATACATATAAAATATTACAAACTGACACAAAATTTATTCCATAAAAAATTGTCCATCTTTCTTTGTTTCGCACATTTAATGGAGTCACTTTGAATGTTCATGAGTCTAGTGGTTATTGTATCAAGAAGCATTTTTTTAATTTTCAATGCATAATTTTAGTATCAATTTATAAAATAATGTGCAATAAATGTCCAGAATTCTACATCAGAGAAACCAGAAAAAAAATTGGAAACCAGATTCACCAAACATAATATAAAAATATACATCCCATACTTGTAATTGCACCATTGCAACTCAAAAAATCCAAAGTAGATCTATACAAAATGCTGTAATTTTATAGAAAGAACCAAACATCAGAAGCTACGTATCTTAATTGAACAAAACAGCTGCCCTAAACCAAAATTTTACCTTGAAACTTGGATCCTTTGATCCCAGCTCTGAAAAGCGATCATTTTGTGAATTTAAAAGAACCAGTAAAGAAATATGAATAAATATCTGAACTAAATTATTGCTAGACTTTAGCCAATACCTAATAAGGTAATCCTCTCTGAATACAAATACTACATAAGATGTAATATGTTGCATTAAAACAATTTAAGTTGACTAAAATTTCTCTAATTTTCATGTTGCATTTATTTTGTTGCTTTCATCACAACTTTGGCCTATATCAACGTCCACATCATATTTCTATATCAATACTTTGAGTCGTTATCTTCTTCACAGTACCTTCTTATTTGCAGCTTTCCTGGATGTCTTGAGGCATTTCATTAGCCATGCTTACTGCACTCGACAAACCGCGAGTTAATACTCTTTGTTCCATACTGTATACACTGTATTCATGTGTCTCTGTAAATTACATTATTGATATGAAGAAAAGTCATTATAGAGAGGTTGTTATTTGACCTTCCATTCGAAAATCATGGTCATATCTTGCATCTGTCAGGAAGTTGTTTGTGGGAGGTCAGTTGTATTTGGAAGGGTTATATCCACCACGGATTACTTTACAGTCTTCTAGGGGTGTGCATACTTTGGTATTTTATTTTATTAATTCTTCCATTATGATACATAGCTTTCTTGAGAAGAATGGCCATATAAGGGTGTGCAAGAGTTTTAATTCTTCCAGTGCTCATCACAGATTTATTTACAAGTACGAGCACCTCGGATTGTATGAACTTCGATTTATATATTTGAATTAAGCTTAAGCCGTTATTAGGCTATAACAGGGAAATGTAGTTAAAATGCTTTTAATCAAAATAAAAAATTATGGTAATAATCCAAAATATTATATAATCTCTTTATACTTAAGGGAATAAATGTAATACTATACTTTTAATTGTTTACCTTTGGTAATATTATTGTAACAAAAGAATTGATAATGGAAGAAAAATGTCAGGAATTTTCTTTTTCATAAGATTGGGTCTTTGTACAAACAGCCTGCTAAAAATATTATTCTTAGTATACTTTTTTATTATTTAAAATGTTTATTTTTTTAGGAAGCTTCCACATACATCCCAGTTTAAAACAGAGTACTCAAGAGTTTGAGACACATTTTTTTCAATTTAAGATTGAATATTGTATTTGAGAGTTTAGACTTGTACATGCTTATATATATATATTGTTAAATATGGAATACATCTATAGTAATAGTAAATTATTGGAATAGATTTTTATTTGTATTTTTTATATTGTTATGAAACAAGTAGCTATATTTTCTTATACTCTTCACTGTTGTATTGGATATATCTACAGGGAATTCATTCTCCAGATATTGCTCTTGCTTTGCATTGTGAGGGTAAATTTAAAAAAGAAACTCCTTGTCCAGCAGTTCCAGTTTTTAACATTTCTAAAGATAATTTGTACAAAATCGAGTCATCGTCAACAACAGTAAAAAGAGGTCAGTATTATTTCCTTCACCAAGAAAAATATCAGAGAACATTATTTTAGGCTTAAAACTATTAATGAAGAGGAAATCTGGTAGTAAATAAGGACAATAAACTGACTTTAGTTTATTCTTTCCCACCTTTGAAATGTGATAGTGTTTACAGTGTGGTAGAAAAATTTAGTGGTTGGTATAAGTATTGTATAATGTACATTTCTATCCTGTTTTAAATCAGGTGTATCAGAGTAAAAATCATACTGTATCACATAAGGTAAAACTGTGTGAACTGTGTTAGATAACACATCATGTTGATCATATACAGTAGTAGTTACATAATATCAGTTATATGTAGGACTGTCATCTATCAGAATATCAGACTTTGGTTAATCATATAATTGTGTTGAAGGCTACATACTATGAATCATTTGTATTGTGTAATAAGATACGATATGGCTTTTTGTAATCTTATTTGTAACATTCATCTGTACACGGTAGTGTCCCTCTCTGGAGAGGATGTAAACATTCACCATTTTGTTTCTATTGACATCATTTAGTTGCAATGTGTATCAAAAAAAATATCTGTATTTCAGTGAGATACTACTTGAATATTAACTCTGATACTGACTTTTGGTACTGATTCTTGCCAGTTCTCATGTGTAGAAATTAATATGTTTAGTCCAAGGATTAGTTGCACTTTATAATAAGTTGTATATGCTAATATTGTGGCATATCACCATAGCCTTTTCTCACTGCAAATTATCAACCATTTGTGGTGGATCGTCTTGAGCAGATTTATGGCTGAAGAGGTATTTGACAGCCTTTTTCAATAAATGTTATATATATATTGCAAGATTGTTAAAAAATGTAGACCAAGGGGTGCAGTACTTGGAGAAAGGGAGCCTTCAATATTCTGAACAATTTTCACATTAGAGTATTTAGGAAAGCAGTGGCTTTAAAACTGTTGTATAGCAACAGCCTTATCTTCAAACTAATGATTGTTGTTACAGAAGAACACAGTGCTCCTAAAATCCATCATGACAAAGCTGGGCACATAATTTGTTGTGGATAAAGCTGAAGGCTCTCAAATTTCCATCCACTCTTCACAATTAGTGGCTATTTTCATGACAGATGACTGAAGAAACTGGAATCATGCCAATCCCATTCCATAACATACCTGTCAAGGACCCTGTTGCAACTCATATGGATTTTTGTACCTTCAGTCCAAGTACACTGAAGAGTCTGTGGAAAATATGTAAAGAATTCTAGCCTAAGATTAAATTTTTCCAAATCTTGTGAAAACCTCTTACAATGAAAATTGTGGTATTAAATAAAATTGCCTAATCATCAAATTGACACTACTTAGGATGTAATTCCAAGAGTAACACAACTCCTGAAACATTGGTCTTATAAAGTGTAGTTAACCCTGAGTAGTATTACATGAACTAAATTATGTAAAAAGTTACTTTTATAAAACAATTTTGTTGAAGCTTTCCAAATTTATTCATCACATCTTCTTATAAAATGCAGTTAATCCTCAGCAGTATTATATGAACCTCAAATAAATTATGTAACAACTTGCTTTTATAAAACAACTTTGAAGCTTTCCAAACTTAACCATTTTAATCAAACATATAAAAAGTACTTTCAGACATTCATCCCAATAAGGAGTTAATGTAGTAACTTGTATGTTTTAATGTTAGATTAATTTACATAAATAAAGACAATATAAAGAACTCATTATTAGGACAAGTTTCACATGCAACAGTCATAAGTCAGCAGTTAAGAAAACTTAAAGATTTATTAACTTCTGAAACACACATCATATAAACAAAATATAAATAATATAAGGAAAACTTGAAATAATAAATTTCATAAAAAATTTGGTAAATTGCTTTTATGGTAGCTTTGATATTAATTTTACATTCTATCTACTTCAAGTGAGGAAACATGATGGACTAAATAATAGGAAACAAGAAACCTTGCAAGAAAGTACTACAGAATTTGAAAAAGAAGACTTGAAAAGAAGTTGGAAAAGGATATTTCTGTTACTTGTGGCTGTCACTGTTCATAACATTCCTGGTAAAAATTCTTGTCCTATTACAAAACTGTTATATAGGTATTTGTTTGCTGCTAAATAACCTATTCTATTTCCTATAATGTTTATAATAAAAATTAATATGAAAGTTGTGGGTAAGCTAGCAGGTGATCAACTCAAGGAGCTTTATGTTCAGAATATAGAAATTAATTGAAGATTAAGTAACACAACACATAACATTTAATTCAACATATTTAAAAATATATCTACATCAAAATCACTTTCCTTAACAATAGTCTGTTCATTAAACAGTTTTTCTAAAATATTCATGAACATCTGAACAGCATCTAGTAAGTTATTGATTAATCTAAACCTAGTGGAAACATCAGGCATTGTTGAACTTTATATTGTTCTAATAATAATTATTCTAATACATTTCTCAACACCTCAATAACATTCTCAATTAGTTTGATAATTTTTTAATTAAATCAATTCTTATTATTTTTTCAGTCATATTATATAGGTAATCAGTTTATGTTACTAGACTAGAGATAGCAATTTTAAACTTAAAGGAAGTTTGTATGATGAATGTTCTCTAGATTTTGCAAGAAAGCCATCTCAGAAGAAGTGAGGAACTTCATGAGTCTACCAAAAGTTTCAGCATGAATCTGCTCTGAAAATTATCTGGAATAAATCTGTTCTTTGTCGAAATGTATAATCTTTTATACTTAATAAACTGGATAATTACAACTTTGCAGAAAGTTCTCTACCATAACTTTTGCAGGTGATCTTCTGCTTCTGATTGGTAGTTTCTAGGCCTTCTGATAACAAAACCATAACTGTATACTGAATGGATGTGCCCCCGACATAACAGGATTATTTATTATTATTCATTTGCTGAAATATGTGTAGGTATTTGAGCCATTTAACTCCAAAATGTGTGAATACAAGACATTTAACTTCTGTCTTATATATACTTTTTACATACATTCTTCCACTTGTTGCTTTCTGTTATGAACCCACTGTTTGTTTTTTATAATGTTAGTTCCTTTCACCATGGTGTCCAATATCATGAACTTCCTTGCTTTCCATAGCTAAATCACGACTGTTTGGTGCTGATAAGAACTACTAGTTTCTTTTCCTCATATTAGAATTTTGAATGCCTGTCTAATTAAACTGTATAAACTACGTTGTTTTCTTCCTAACTATATTTGGTAATCTCATTGGTTAACCATCTTCATGTTCATATATAGTTAACTAGCATTTGTCTTAAGTTGTCTAACGTTTAATGATTTTAATATGTTCTTCAGTTGTTTTGTAAAGATTCAAACTATTAAAACTCTAAAACATTTCCTATTCTGTAAATATATTTTATAATGTCATCTTTACCTTCATCCATTCCTTTGAACCTGAGTCCAGTCACAACCCTTTTGGAGAAGCAGTGGCTGGAAGTAGCCACACGTCTGGATTTCATCAATGCCATAGTCAAGCAGTGTATCAGGATGTGATGGGTATTTAGTAGGGTCAAGGATCTCTACTGCCAGGATTACTGGATTATCCTTGAAGCTTGCAATCTGTTCCTAATACAGGAAATTATGCTGTCCAAGATGTTCATGATCTTCCTTTGGAATGCATCAGTGGTTTTAGCTTTGAGTTCCACTCCATTGACTGGGTTTCAAATGCTACTGCTTCTTTAACAATAGTAAGCACAGGTCTCAAATGGGAATATGGTGCATGTATCTTTCTTGTCAATACTGCTTAAGCAAAGACTACACTGCTCCTAACAGCAGACAGAGGGAGCTAATCTTTCTATAAGTCAAAGAAGAGTTTAGCCATGTCACTGACCAGATCCTGGTGACAGGCCATACAGAAAATGAGCTTACACGATATTATGCTGTTCCACATAGCATTTTATCTTGGCAGCATCGGCAACTATAGTATCTTGACATTATTAAGACACCTGCTTTTCAAACTGTCAACACACTTTTAGTGGCCATGCATGTCAAGGCTTTTCTTTTGTAGTTTATTCACCTCATACCTTGAAAGCAAGATGGTTTTATGACATGCTTTTTTTCAGAACTGTTGCAGTGGCTTAGCTGCTGCCATCTGTTTGCCGATCTTCTATAGACATAGTACAGTTGCATCATTAATTAATCAATCTTAAAAGATAAAATATATAACAAAAAAAAGGAAGCAGCTCAACATTTAAAATTGCCTAAGACCAAATTTGAAAGTGATAATTAACATATGCTCCTTTAATTTTAAAATTCCCTAAAATTCTGATTCTAAATTGTGCTTAAACTAATTTGTAATATTTCAGTTTTTGTGTTACTTTATGAAATTATAGTGATAATCCCTTGCAAAGATGTTTTACTATGTGCCACCAAATGGGGCTTAAGTATTCAGAGGCTCTTTGTAGTTTCTGTCATGTTGCTTGTTCCAACTATGTATGCATTAAGGTCACAATGCTCATTCTGCCTAATTGTATTGTGGATTTTGGGGCATGTCCTTGATTATGATGATATCAACAAATATTACACCAGTCTTTGACATAACCATTCCTCTAACTATATTGGATCCAATCATAGCTCCAACTATATGTGATCAGACTTTGTTTTACATGCAAGAATTTGAGTGTTCATCTGACTTGTAGTCAGAGAATGATCATTATTAGTTCCTTGCTGAGACAGTGGCAGTTCAGGATGATTCAGTAGAAGATAAAGGTGGTAGTGATGCAGGGTGCCTACATGTAAAATTATAAAGAGTATTTTTATGATAACCATTTCCACCAGAGACAATAAAACAACTTAAAATTACCAAATCAGTGTGGGAAATGACATAAGGCTGAATCTCAAGTCAAATGCCACAATAACTTGTTTCCATTACTATCAGATGCCCTCTTAAAGAATTACAATTTATTTAATACTAGTTCCAAGCATTTACAATTTACAAAGGCCAACAAAATGAGTCACTAGCTAGCTTTAAAACTCTAATTTAGGAAATACTTGATTTATTATGCAACCCAAGAAAAATTATGTTTGGCTTACTAATTCCACGTAATATCTTCCTCGAAAAAAACTATATTTCCTGAGAAAGTTCTCTAAAGCCATGTGGCTTTTTCTTAGAATTTTATTTTTTTCAGTTATTTCAAACATCTAATTTTTCTACAGAGACAATATGTTAATTAATTATATTATCTAATATTCCTTAATAATAATGAAATCATCAGACCTAAACTAGGTGTACTTCCACAGGGTCCCCAAAAGTGTTCTGTTTCAAGAATAAATAAATAAAACCAAAATTAAGAGTAACATATATTTTTATTTCTTGCTTTTGAAGTTCATATGTCATGCTGTGTTGTAGTCTACAGAGTGAATAATTCTTTTCATGATTCATGCCATATGCACTTTTACTGATGTCACAACAGTACATATTGCAAAGTTAAGCATCCCTATATAACTTCATTTAATTCCTACTGATTGACTGACAGACAACACTACTGTATAGTGGTGTGAGTAGTTAAAACAGGTGACCCATCTAAGTGGCCTTTGGCCCCCTTTTGGGGAAATTATTATCACAATACTTCCTTCATGTAGCTATGATAGGCCTATATACTGAATGCATACTTGCAGCTTGTACTAAGTTCTTATCCAAGAAAAGTCACCTTCTTACATTTGCTGGCCAATTTATCCAATTCCATTTGTTTGAAACATTTCAAGCAATCTTGTAAGTTTCAGTTATTGAAAATGGAACAGATTCAAGATGAAAATAAAAGTTTAATTACTGACTGATGATGGGTTTGCATACTTAACAGCCCCACTAAAGTATAGAGACTGGAATGTTAGATTTTTTAATCAGTTGTATGTTGTTGTTCTATAGTGATGTAGTAATGTGTCTTTTAGTTTTTTATTAGCTACAATATATGTATGTGTTACTCCCAAATCATTATATTGAAGTATTTTTCTTTTAATTCAGTATCCTTATTTTGCATAGAGGTACTTCTAAATGGTAAAGAAAGTTTATAAATGTTGGCTAATATTAAAACTCCACATTTTTTACAAGTTCACAACACACCTCATCATTAGTCATGTTTTATTTTCAGACTAATATTTGTTTTAAAAATGCAGTTTCAAAATTATTACTATTTAATATTACCATAATCCTTCATGCAGTGGAACTTGAAAGAAAACAAGCATTTTTCAAGATTAAATTTTCTCCAGACAAAAAGAGATACTTTATTAACATAAAAACATGAAATATGTCATTTGGTATTCAAAATTACCAGTGTACATGTACAAATGAGATTGAGTATATATATTCTTTAGTGCTCATGTTTGTTTGCTTATTGATTCTTAATGCTTTGTTCTAAAAAAATTTGGGAATTAAAGAAATATTTGCAAAAAAGCCACAACGTAGAAATGGGACACAGCAACAACAAGAGGGTGTTTTCATGAGGGGTACCTCAGTAAGTAAGAGGGCAATGACAGCAATGGTCATCATGTCCACTGTTAGATTCCAGGCCTGTTTTATAAAGCTTTATGTCTTGAAACAATAGTCATTTGATATGTATTGTAAGCTCTTTTAAATCTAGAATGTGCTACTTGTTATACTACCATTGCAATGTTTAACTATATGTTCTGGTATTAGGATAATATCAAATTAAACTTAAAATATATAGTGTTACAATTCAAATAAGTATTTCAATATTGAACATACTTTCTGAACTTACTATTTGAAGTATAAATTGTTCTACTGTATAAAACACAGAGAAGCTTAGCCTTATGATATATCTTTGTTGGTTTAACAGCTTTCCATACTGACCATCATACTGTGCTTTAAATTTGTTATAAAAATGTTATGTCTTAGTATACCCATTTCATGAATCAGTACATTAAGTAGCAGTGAGAACAGTTTGTAAATTTTTTTTAAGACAGTATTTTTCCCCTGTCTTTGTGCACTTGCATATTTCAATGGTTTTTGGTTGTTGAAAGACTTATCATAATACTTAATAGATTAAATATCAAACTGAGAAATATCATACATTAAAATATAAAAATCAGGTAACATATTCTGTTGTTCTACACAAGTTATACATCTGTAGCTCATTTATGTTGAAAATATTTACCATCAAGTAATGTTTTTATCACAACTTGAAAATATTTACCATCAACTAATATTTTTATCACATCTTTTTGTGTTATTTAGAAATAGAGGAATAAACTACAAAATTGTTACAGTCAAAATATAGGTTAAAATGATATGTAACTATTAGCTTACAACTCATATGAAGCATTCATGAAATTGAATGACAATAAAACATTTGTGTATTTTTCAGATATCTCTGCATACATGTACATGTATTTTATATATTTTGTGTTCTAGTGACAGAGATATAATTTATAACTAAAGGATAACTATGTATTGTTCATTTTATTCAGAAGGTCTGGCAATTGGTGTAGGCTTTGGAGCTGTTAACAGGACCAAATATGCTACATTTGAGAATGCGAGGTATACATACATTGTTGTTTGTAATTTTAATGTTTCTGACAAAATGCATAACATTAATTTATGCAGATTTTAGAATTGATAACTTAATGTAATTCATTTTATTTTTTTCTGTTTTGCAGTAATTTGTTATTAAAACTGGTAAATGGTGAGTATGGTGGTATTTAAAGATGTCTTCCATTATTATTACATGTATTCAAATTTGATAAGGAACACACTTTTTAGAAAATAAAGTTTGGACATGGCTTGATTGGGTAGCAAAATAAGCTTTACAAATGTACAATGTTTGAACAAGCTTTGTCACCATCAGATAATACAATTAGTTTACATAGACACAGGAATATATATAAAGTATGGAACAAAGAGGTCACTTAACTGCTTAGTAAAGGTATCTTGGTACCCTGGGGTGTTGTGTAATTAAGATGTCTTATTTTATTTTACATTTGTTGATGTTTTGTTATTTGTTTAAAATCAGTTTTTTGTTTATTGAGTTGCAATGGTGGTAAACATGGGAGGGTTTCTTTTTATGTTCAGAATCTGGTTTCCAATTTTCTTCCAGTTTCTTGGATGTAGAATTCTGGATGCTTATTGCATGTTATTTTTATAAGTGAAAGCCATCTTAATTGAACAACATAGCCTCACTCTAAGCTAATGCCGCAGGGTATCAAGATACCTTTACTAAGCTGTTAAGTAAGTAATCTCCAGTCATGTGACCTCTTTGTTCCATACTGTATATATAAATTCCTGTGTCTATGTAAACTAACTGTACCTGATGGTGACATAAGTTTGTCAAAACATACATTTGTAATAGTTTCTTTCACTACCCATTCAAGCCATTATCAAACTTTATTATTATTACTTGTATCTCCTTACATTTATAAATAAACATATAAACATAGTACACATTGAAAGCTTACACTACTCCAGAGTTTTCTCAACTCCTAAGGAATCCACTAGGGCTTAGGATAGAGACTGCTTATACAATACATATAGTTCTTAGAAAAATATATTTACACGATCCTTTAACCCTCTTGATAAAAGTGGGTAGAAGTATTTATTGCATGACCTTTCAAAATTTAATTAAACTACTTTATTATGAATGTATATTAATAATCTTGATCTTGATATAAAAAAAATAGTTTATAATTCAAATTTTTATATTATCTAAATTTTAATTTTTAAAGGAAATATTTAAATTCTCAATCTACACCTCTCAAAGTTAACATGACTTAGTGGTACTGTGGCTTCTCAGTTATAGAGCTTGTGCTCTTCCCTTGGGTTTTAGATTGTTCAGTCAGATAGAAACACATGCAGTAGATGTTGACATGTCACAATAAGAAATTGCAACTTCTTGTTTTTCTGAGATATCACTATATTTGTTCAACCCACATTGATGCACCTTTTCTATATCCTCTGTCTTTCAAGAAATATTTCTAATTCTTTGACATTGCTATTTAAAATTTGTATAACCAATAGAATGTGCCATTTCTACATTACATAAAACAGATGATTGTTTTGTTTTAGTGTTAAAGGCTAATAATTCTGTTTGGACTGAAAGTGTTGCTTTGAGAAGTATGAACTTTAACCTCTCTTGTTTTATACAATATTTCATTGAGTTGCCTATGGCTATTATTCAGAGTGAAACAGATTTAGCTTATAATAAAGAGAATTTATTTCTTTGCAGAAATCTAGCCATAGGAATTGGCATTCAGAACTTCCCAGAAGGTCTTGCTGTGAGTCTGCCTTTGCATGGAGCAGGAATTTCTCTTTGGAAAAGTTTTTGGTATTTGTGTGATGTCTTTCTGATCAACTTAAAATGTATTCTGTGTACAATGCAGGGCTGGTACAAAACAAGTTTGGATTATAAAGAGTAGGTGGAGGGGAAAATAAAAGTGAAACACACTCCTGGAGAAAAAAAGACCATGGGTGTTGTTGAAAGGTTACCTTGAAAAGCAGTAAATTTTATATTAAGAAGTCATGAGTATTGACATAACTTACGTTGGTGTTCAGTATATCTTCCAACCATGTCAACAACAGATCTCAAAAAAGGCATGAAAGACAGCAGCTCAAAGCATATCCTCAGTGATGTGCATTGCATAATGTGGAATACGATTGTTTAAGTGTGAACACTATATAGTTGTAACAATCTTACTAATCAGTGAGTAAATGAATGAACTCTGATGTCAAACTCTCACTCTTGTAATTGTAATTTTTATTGATGTCACATGATAATACAGTTTCCAGGTCACCTTACAGCGCCATCTGTGTTACTACAAACCAGAGAGAAAAGCTGCAAGTTGTATAATATCCCAGTTTCAGTAGGGAATCTAACTTAATAAATTAAAACACTGAAACAAATGTCTTAAAATAGACTAATTGTTTGTTATTGATTTGTTTAGCTCTTTCAGCACGGGCTCGGTCCCTGGGACCGACCTCTTAAACACTTTGTGCTTGTTATAGTTTTCATGCTATAACTTTTAAATTAATAAATGTATGTTCATGAAATTTGGCAGATTATTAATAAACATTACAAGGCTTTCATACGCAAAATACAAGATTTTTTTTTTATCAAGTTTTAAGGTTTGTTAAGAAGTGTTTTTCTCCTGCCTTTTTTATTTTAAGATTTCAAATACTTTTATGCATCAGACAATTTTCAAATGTAAAATCTTTATAATGTTCAGATAGTTATCAAAAGTTTCTTAAGAAAAAACTTTATATTTTATCTGTTATTTTCACTAACGAATCTCTTTACAGGTTCGGTTGATTTGACCAATCTCGTGACCACCATAAAAAATTAGGAAATAAGTATAAGTTATGCTTTTTTTATTCTGGTGTTTTCTACACTGGTAGCATTGTACATTCTGATGTTGTCAGTAATGGTAACATTGTACCTTCTGATGTTGTCAGTAATGGTAGCATTGTACATTCTGATGTTGTCAGTAATGGTAA